CGGGGAAGGGCGCGAGGGCGGCGGGCCGGGCCGCGGCGCGAACCTTGGGGCGGCTCCGTCTTCGCCCGGCCCGGGACGAGCGGCCGTCCCGCGGGCGGCGGCCGGGCTCTGGGAGGCGGGGCCGGCCGGAGTCGGCTCCGCGGTGCTGCCGGGAGGGCGGCGGAGGCCTCGCGCTTTGCGCCCCCGCGGCGCCGTGAGGGGCGGAGCGCAACCGAAGAAGCGTTCTGCTTCCGTCGCCCCGCGGCCCGGCGCCGCGCTGCCCTGTGCGGAGCCCTCCCGGTGCAGCCCGTGCCGCAGTGCCGGCAGCGCGGGGCGCCCCTTCCTGGGCCGCTCGGTCGGTGAGGGACGCCTTCCGATCGGCGCGGTGAGCCGCCTCTCGCCACGCTGTTAGGCGTGACCGGAGCACAATTGCCGTCTGCCTTCACGCTGATTTAGAAACTCGTGGCGGTTCGGCGTCTCTCACCACCTCCTTCACAAAGTTGTGTGGGAGAGACCTGCACGCCCGGGACGAGCGCCGTATGAGCTGACCGCCCGCTCGTGCTGCTGGCGGACCCCGCCCGGCCCCGCTGCTGCTTGCCTTGCACGATGACTCTGCTTCGGTTGGTAGTGACAGATGTTAATCGTGCTGCTTAATGCAGCCGTGGACGGCAGAGAGGCATCACAGTAATGAGAAGTGTGCAATAACCTTGCCCAGAATAGAACAGTGGAGCTGAACAACGGCTCATTTATCTTTGCAGGCACATCTTTTTCTATTCAGAGCTCATTAACCCATGTCCCTTTGCATTCCAGTTTGGAGATGTAATGTCTGCTGAACTACAGAAAAATGATCAGAAGTCTGCTGTGGTAGTTCTTGAGATCTGCACCGCTCTGCTCCAGAGGTAGCTGTGTTTCACTAAAGTAATTGTAGGCCTGATGTCACATACAGAGATCTTATAAATGAAGTTGTGCAAATACTTCCTGTAGGATCATCCCATGGTGTTTTGCAACTCCTGATCATTTGCACAATAGAAACATGAAACAATTAAAGCCTTTCATGTTTTCAGTATGAATATATCTGTCAAATTGCACAACTCCAAAATGGGATCAGTTTTAAAATTAATACCAATAATTAGCAGTGCATGAGTAAGCCTGTGTAGGTGCTTTCATGGGAGACTAGAAATACCATCTTTAGTAGCAGATGGGGACCGGTGCAACCCACTGCTTTAAAGAAGCTGCCTCTGCAGAGTGCATGGGCTGAGGGACAATGGAGAGGTGCACAGTGCAGTGACTTATTAATCACCAGCCACCACCACAGCAGGGAAGTTCTACTTCTAGTGGTGAGGTGCTGGAACAGCTGCCCAGAGAGGCTGCGGTTTCTGCATCCCTAGAGGTGTTCAAGGTCAGGTTGGATGGGGCCCTGGGCAACCTAGTTTAGTATTAAATGTGGAGGTTGGTGGCCTTGAGTATGGCAGGGGGATTGGAGATCCTTGATGTCCCTTCTAACCCTGGCCATTCTGTGATACTTCAGGGTGATTTTTACTGGGTCCAAAATACAGATGTGTCAGAGCTGAGTGCCATTTTGATGGATGAGATCTCTGAAACTTTCTGTAAGTTGAAAGCAAAAGAGGAAAAGAAGAGAGGTCCTGTTATTGTCGTATGGATGAAGGCTGCCTAGCTCATCCTGTAGCAGACTGAAGACAGAGGGGTTCTGAGACACTACACAGCTCTGCCAATTGCTGCAGGGAGGCCAAGCTGAAGTAGCAAGTGGTGACTGGCCTCAGCTCAGTTAAGTGGTGACTGAACCACGCAGGACGTTGGGGGCTCTCAGTACCTCTGAAAAATGCACTTAAAAAAAAAATTGAGTGGGCATCTGTGAGCTGCTCTCGAAAACTATACTAGTTAAGCTGTGGAAAAGGTTCTGCCATCTCTAAGAGCTTTGCACTGTGCATCTGTTCTCATTCTTTCCTAGGAAGAAACTTGTGTGGCTCCTACACAGAAAAGCCATCATTGATGAGGCTGTGAGGTAGATCACACGTGAGGGTCCTTGAAACGAGGGGAAACTCTCTGGTGCTGTAGCTGGCACCTGTCTCTTGAGTGGAGGGCACAGCAGCTTGGCAAAAGACGCTAAGAGCTGGCAGGATGAATTCCAGCTCACCTTCTGCACGTGACTTATACCACAGCAGCACCACAACAGCCAAACCAGACGCAGGAACAACTCTGGATGCAACTGTACCAGAAACAGCTACTGTGAGCCCTGAGACTGCTAGCTTCAACAGCACCAAAATCCCAGATGTGGCCAGCAGCGGACCCAGCATGAGCGCCATGCTGCTGTCCTTTGGGATCATTACTGTGATTGGGTTGGCTGTAGCTATGGTAAGAGACACTACTAGTATTTCTATCTGCTGCGGGTGAAGGGTGGCAACGGAGTTCTAGGGCTGATTTGAATTAACTTCTATATTATATTAAAGGCATACCTAGAGCTGGTAGGAATGGTGCTCCAGTATTTCTTCTGTCTCCCTGGGGTCTAGGCAGAGCAGGCTGCTCAGCAGGTCTAGAGGAAACCATAAATAACATTAGTATTTATTTTTAATAGCAACAGGAAGTTCAATTGAAATAAGCAATGGCAGACTGACAAGTCAGTCTGTTTTGACTTGTTAACTGGAACAGCTGCATTGATTTAAACCTTGTCAACACCAGCGTCCCATAGGAAAGTTCATCCGGCTTAACTTTTAAAGCAGGCCGGGACCCTGTTAATCTCCTCTGTGGGCATGTCTTTTTGAACTGATGCAGACTGAATCCGTTTTTGCTAGACTCATTCTAGACTGCATTTTTGAGGTTCTCCTTGCTCGGGTATCAGCAGAGTCCTCAAGGATTTGCTGCATGTAACTAACCCTGCCATTAATCAACAGCTATAGTTCTGAGTCTGACAGACAATGCAAGCACTGCAGTTCTTTCAATATATAACTGGATCATTTACCTACCAACAGAGAATGAAGGTAGCAGCAAGCTCACGTTCCTCGTGTGAGGAAGGGCTTCGCTAACACAAGCAGCAGAGGAGCCTATGGAAAGGGACTACTGCAAAATTTCATTGCAGACCCAAGGAGGAGTTTCTCCAAAAGCCCCTAAAGAGAACCTGGAAACACTGTCCTGGAAATGGTCATAAGTTCCCGAGAGCAACAGCCAGCGTTCGTAGTTCTTGGAACAAGGCTCTGGAGGCCAAAAGCCTCACTTTCCTCCCAGGACAGCCACTCTTACTGGCTGACACGAGGCAAGTCACTGAGCATGCCCTCTTTCCTTCTTCCCTTTGTACTGGGGAGGGGGTAACTGCTTCTATGCTGTAGGAAATCTTCAGGAGAATACTACAAAGAGAAGGTTCTTCAACCGTTCTAAAACTGCAACATATGGCCTCCAGCCAATAGAAATCTGCTGAGCTACACTTAAAACACACCTAACATTCTGACTACTACTAACACACCTAATAGCAGGCCACTCAAGCACTAGTGTCAGCCTTGATGCACTGTTAAGCTTACACTGATGTATACAGAACGTCAGTTCCAGTTGTCACTTCTGTCACTTTTTGCTTTCCTCTGCTTTGGTGCACAATGACATCAGACTTGCTATACCTCCTCTGGGTGCTCTCTACCCAAAATTCTTCTTCCCAGTTGTTCCCCATGCTGCTGTTTGTAATGATGATTTTCTTTCTCCTTCAGGTTCTGTATATCAGGAAGAGAAAGAGGTAAGTAACATCTCTTGTTAGCTGTAAGGAACTCAGTGTTTCAAAATCCAGGTAGGGCTAGGAATTGGAGGGGAAGATGAGGAGAGTTCAAGGGAACAATCCAGCATCTGACTGTAAAGAACACAGGGCAGGGGCTCTGCACTCCTGGTGTTGGCCTACCTTTAGCAGCAGAGCTTCAAAGGCTCCTGTGGAGCTTTGAGAAGGAAAAACGTGGTTGAGCAAGAGGAGGTTAGGGATCCTGCAAATTCTTTATGCTTCTTATGTTAGATGCATTAAAAGAGAGGAAAGGATTATGAGTGGATAAAGCTGGAAACTCTGTTGTGAGAAGTGTGGGTCTCATTCCATGATCTGTGCTTTCCAACAGCCTGAGTTAATGATACTGACCTTGCAAGGCTGAAAGCCTCTTTAGCCTCAGTCACAGCAATGCCAGCAGCATAGTGCAGAAATGCAGCTTCCTATTCCAAGACTTAGTGTATTAATTTCCTTAAGCTCTTGGCGGAAAATAGAGAGGAGAGCAACATGCAGGAAGATGTTTCTTGATTCTTTCATCTTTGACAGCAAAGACAGTGGTACACAACCTTTACATATGGTACCTCTTCCCTGCCTAATTCCTTAAGGCAGGGCCGCAGACCTTCAAGAAGTATTGCTGCCTGTTACAAAATTTTCAAGCCCAGATCTGGGTACTGCTCCAGGAGGAGCTGATGCTTGGCCTGTAAACATAGCTGCTGGAGATAATGGCTGTGTTGGCACAGCAGGAGTGTGTCATCCTAACAGTTTCCAAAATAGATAATTGTGGTGACACTGCCGGTAACAGCTTGGATATTTCCCTCCCCTAACCTCAAAATGCTCAGATACAGCTTAAGTATTTTCACAGGAATATGTCCACCCATCCATCCTCCATCACTCACCTGCCCAGTATTTAGGGAGACCCTCTGGGGCAATTTGTTATGTCTGTCACTTGAAGCAATAAGATTAAGAACAGTCTGCAGGCATCAGTCTCTCTTTCCTATTTATTGCATTTCTATTTATTATTATTATTTTTTAAAATTATATATATATATATATATATATATTTCAAGTCCATAGTTGAAGTACTGCTCTCAAGTTGCTGGAGCTAAAACCAGACCCCTTCTGGCAGGCATAGTGTGATTTGGCAGGGCTGGATGTCACAGGCAGAGAGACAGGGAGAAGAGTTGCAAAATGCACAGCCATTACATTCCACCCTCTTGTTTTTCCCAATACATAAGGCTTGTTCTGAGCTTTTAAGGTCTGCAGGAACTTAAAATCCAGTCCCTGTTTGACTCCTCTGTGCGTAATGCCTGCCAACATAGATTAGTGAAGGCAGTTGATCCCTGGAGCTGTTCTCTAGGCATCTTCCACTCCTTCCAGCTGTATAGCAGGTTCTTATCCTCCTTCCCATAGGATGGGGACATAACTGCTATCTAGCAAGCAGCAACAAGAGCTGAATCCCCATGCAGAAGGAAAAACAGCTTGCAAAATGCCTCAGTAGTGGAGCAGAGAAGACAGCCTGAGCATCTGTCCTTCTGTCTATTGAGTTTTTCAACCAAGTCTTTGCTTTCCCTTCCACGGCAGGTTGGAGAAGCTACGACACCAGCTCATGCCAATGTACAACTTTGATCCCACTGAAGAACAGGATGAACTGGAGCAGGAGCTCCTTGAACATGGGCGAGATGCAGCATCTTCCCAGGCATCACAGAGCAAGGTAAGCAGCAAGATAGTAATGGCCAGGATGTTATTGCAGCCATTGGCTCCTGCCCTGCTGTTGATGATGTAGCAATTGGATAGATCAATACACTGGGAAAGCTGTTACAACAAAGGTGTGATGACAAAAGGACTAGCACAATAGAAAGGTGCTATAGAGAAACGGAAGAAGATTGCTTACCCCTATCAGAAAATTCCAGGTTCACAGGAGAAAGCTTCACCGAGGAAGAATCTCTAAAAAGAAATCCTCCTCCAGTGACAGTCAGCCCTCAAATGAGATCTAAGAGAGGTGCAGCCAGGCTCCACCCCTTCCTGTCTCACAGCTGAACTGCCTTCACTTGTGCTCCCAGAGCTGACTCAGTCCTTTCCCCACGTGCTCAATGCATGACTCAATAGTTCTCATACAGATGAGGAGTTTCTGTGAAATTGTACTGTAAGGAAATCATGTGAGACCTCAAGAGGGCTCCCTTCACCTCACCCAGTTCTGGAGATGGGGGCCTCGAGAATTTTAGAGTTTAGGATGGTTTGAAGAGTCAGGCAACTAGGACAACAAGCCTGGGAAGGGTAAGTGCAGGCACAACTCAGCTAGAAGAGAGAACAATGCAATTTCTTCAATTGACTTTGAGTTTACAGCAGTTTACCACCTAGGGCAAATAGGATGAATGGGAGAGGAGAGGAGGCTCCACTGCTCACAAAGTACTGAGGCTCTCTGGTGCCAGCCCTGAAAATAAGACATTTCCACCCAGTTTTAAGGTATATCTGCTTTGCTGAAGGCTACAAGTGTAGAACAAGGTGTTGTGAATGTAAAGCAAGTAGTTGTGACAGTTAACCACAGGTCCTGAGGAAGGCTATCAGAAAGCCTCATGTTGTTATGGCATGGCACATCTGATCTTGGCAGGACTTCCAGGCCAGCCTTGCTCTCACCATTGTTTGCAGTTAGTTTCATAGTGTTCTCTGTTTCTTTTGTCACTGCTATCACACACAAAAAGCCTTTCTCAAAGACAGAGCCAGCAGGGATAGTTGGAACAGGTACGTCTTCTGGCAAGTGGTGCAGCCTCCCCTTCGAGTAGACATGTCTCCTTTTTTGAATTCCTCTCCAGATGTTCCATGTTGCTCACTTCTTCCCTTGCTTTTCCAGTTCCAGGAGCAGGAATTCTTCCCAACATGCCTCAGTTTTCACATACTTGACACTTTCAGGTAACCTGTAGCAAGCTTGGTGTGGGCAGAAGGGAAGAAAAAAGAAAATAAATACAATTGTAATTATAAAATTATTCACTTTGAGGGATGCTTCCCAACCTGCCAAAGAACATGCTGGAGATGTATTAGAACATGGAAGATAAACAACATATTCCATACGCCATTTTAGGAAAGCAGAAGAATACAGATGTATGAAAGCAAAGGATCCTGTCCTATGAGCAGTATGTACAGGGGAAACATCAGGTTCCTCTGTCAGAGCACACAGAGGATTTCCCTTCAGGTAGTAAAGAGGGGAAATGACAAGGCTAGAGTTGAACTTAGAACAATAAGAGTGTATCCTCCTTATGTAGTGCTTGGCCAGCAGAATACCTATGTTCCCTCTGGAGCTTGCTAATGCACAGATACTTCTACTGGGAAAGCACACTAGTTTAATGGCTTACTGTAGTGAGAGAAGCAGTCTAAAACAGCAGCCAAGGTTCAGTTTTTGGCATGTTTCCAGATCTTCTTGAGATTTCAACTCTTTGCATGCTGCTTTTGCACATATAGATGGTGAAACATACATGGCAAGTCTTTGCAGTCCTAGAAAACCTACACTCAGTAATCCATGATGTGAGCATTTTAAATTGGCATGGATGTGTTGATTTGTTCTCTGGCTTATTGTATTTTTCTTATAGCCTTGTTGATGCCATGTTAGTATATCAGCCCCACCTTAAGAGTAGAGAAGAATAAAAAAGAGAGTAATAGAACAGAATAGTTCAGTTGGAACAAAGGTCATCAAGTCCAACTGCCTGACCACTTCAGGGCTAATCACGAGTTAACATACATTAACATACTGCATTGTCCAAATGCCTCTTGAATAATGACAGGCCGTGGGGCACCAATCCTCTCTTGGAAGGCTGTTCCAGTGTTTAACTCAGCAAAGAAATTTTCCCTGCTGCCCCATCAGACCCTCCCATGGCACACCTCTGTGCCATGCCCCTCCTACCATTGGCTCCAAGAACCAGTGTGTGACACCTCCCTCTGCTTTCCCTTCTTGGAGAGCTGCAGAGAGCAGTGAGGCTACCTTTTCTCCAGGCTGGACAGCCCAGTTGTCCTCACAGAACATGCCTCCCAGCTTTGTTACCAGCTTTGCTGTCCTTAGTAAGGGGCTGAATCTAGTTACAGTGCTGCACAGCCTGTGCCCTGGGCTGTGCACCAAAGTAAGGCGGACTTGCTGGGTCTCATCTTTCACTGCTTCAATGCAGGTTCTGCTGACGAGCCAAGGAGCCCTCCAAAGACCCAGCCGTCTTGTGTTCACAGACGTTGCCAATGCCATCAATGCATGAACAGTACCTGCCCCTGCTCTGGGATTGTGCCGAGATTGGGAAGGATGGAGCCACCAAACCAGCGACTTCTCACGAGTGTGGCTGAGTCACGGAGCCCAACTGGTCACGCTGCTGGGTTGCGTTACAGATGGGCTCACGTGCTGGAAACAGTCACCGCTTTGGGAAGGAAACCCTTTACAATGGCAGTAGCAGTTTTAGGTGTGTCCACTACTACTACAAGGTCCTGAGCTGCCATGCTGCTCCAGGTTCTGGGCTGGTGCTGACTGACACCACCTACCAAGCTGTGTGCTTAGAAATAGCGCTCACTCTGTTGTAGATTAACTATCCAAGCACATCTGTGTGCTCTCTGGATCAGGGAAAGAGGAGAGATGCATGTTCCAGACAGCTTACCTGTTGGGTTTGTGCCACCAGATCCCAACGAGAACAGTGAATGAGCATCTGTGCAGCGACCACAGTATTGGCAGACCCTGGAAGGGTGGCTGGTGGCAAAGCCTCCTCCTTTAGCTGGGGAAACTGATGGTTCTAGCTGAGTGGTAAATTGGAGGCACATACCATGGAGGCACAGGGGAAAACACAAACCATGGGCTTTTCCCCTTGTGGCTTGTGTGATGCTGACAAATGTGTGCCTGGGCTGGCACTGCAGCATGGGGAATTTGCTAGTTCTAAAATGTGAAATGGTGAACATCTGGCTGGTAACACCCTAGCTGAGGAAGTGGCTGAATATCCCAAATTA